TTACAAATATCATTCCAATTTGATACATATCTTTATGTATGAATCAACACTTTACAAATAAAAATTTAAATAATAATGACTAAACATAAAAGTAAATAAGAGTACAAATTCGCAATTTTTGGTGGGAATTTGTGCATAGAATGTCGACTGATTTAAAGGATTATATGACTATTGTCACGATTCGTGAACCCAATACAAAATAGACACAAAATTAGCAGAGTAAATTTAGTTTTAGTAAGTTCGTGTGATAAATGGTGAAATTATTATATCCGTGAAATAAATAAATTGATACAAATTGAGGTAAAACATTACATGCATTCACTAAGCAAGACTTACAAGATATGGACCCATCTAAAAATGGATAGAAAACTTCATAATCTGCTAGTCACTGTCAAGCTATTGGTTAGACAAATTCAAAGATAAAAACAGATTTTGACACGACCTGATTAAAATATGACATAACTTGAACACGACATTACTTATCACATCCCTACGGTCATGGCCGCTGGGTGAAGATTTAACATTCAAAAACTAATGGAATGGGGAAGTGTAAAAGGGAAGACTACTTCGTATATACCAACCGAAGTCAAAACATGTTAATCAAACAACTTTGCAGTTGGCACTTATAGACGATAGGTAAACAGAGTTTCCCTCCAAATTCCAGGGTTTTGTAACGGTCAAGCAATGCAGAGCTACAGTGGGCATAAATAGGATCAGCCTTGAGCAACAATTATGTTATGTTAAAAAAACTCATACATGTTGTGGGGATAGGAAATACAAGTAGCACATCAAAACAGCCACTATAAACCGAGACTTTTACCTACGGGTCCCACTTTATACCTCTTTTTTCCTCGCAATAAAATGGGGCAATAAATTATGAAATGAGTTCTTGTCTAATATTGACATCATGAGGCATTTTGTTGGGTATGAACAAGCGAGAATCATGCGAATCATATAGTGTAAGTGTGTGCATTTGCGCGTGTATGTATGTGTTGGCAGAAGGGAACGAGTAGTCCTAAAATTTCTTGCCATGATCTTGACATAAAGAAAAGTTTGGTTCGACTTGAAATATAACTTTCTACAAAAGGGATAAGAATTATGTATCAAATGGTAGAAAAAACGTGAAAAGAATATGCATTCATTAGGTGCAGGAGCAAATACTAAAAAATAGATGAATCACCTACATGTAGCTAGCTACCCATCTCAATTACCAAAATAAAAAAACAATAATAAAGTTGCCCAACTCCTTTCAATTTCCTCATAATGGTTGAACCAATATCCCAGGAAAAAAAAGAACTACACCTAAAAAATTGGAGATACTGATTAATTTGTCATACGATATTTACTCGTTTCTTATTGTCTCCTTAAAAATGAAAAATCATCCCTAAAAATGAAGAGAAGTAAAATGAGATATAAGGTACCATATAATAAGGTACATCAAGCACAATCATGATGATTATAATTGCTTGCTAGAATCAACAATAAAAGAAATCTTGAAAACGGAGGTACTTTAGAATCAACATAAAAATAGAGAACTTTTTCACATTAACTCACATTTTCTCATTACTTAGGCTCAGCCACCAAAAATCTACTTATGTTATGTGGAAGTAGATCAAGTGTGACCAAAGCACAAATAAGCATTTAGCCAACTAGGCATTTCAGATGTCACAATACTATACTTGCACATAAACAAATAACAGTATTTGCACGGATGATTTCCTACAATGGTATGAAATAACAATCTTCAAGGCGAATCTGATGGTAAATCTTGAAACATGGAACAGTTTGAATGGGGTCAGGGATACACCCGATTTATCCCCTCCAATGTTTAAGTCAATTGTACAGTGTTGAACTATTTTAGCATGCATACCTTAGTCCTGTTTCAATGGGGGTATTTATACCTTTGATTTGTGGCACTCACTAGAGTGCCAATCCTAGGCATCTTTATTCATTGTTCAGTGTAATAATTGCTTCCTCGTCATTAGGTGTGTCTATGATCGGGCCGGGTTAGACCCGTAATTTTTTTTTCGATTTGAGTCCGAATAGGATAAGCCCAAACTCCTTGACCGTGTGAGTTATCGAGCAGGTTGTGCCAAACTAGACTTCGGATAAATGTAAGCTACTTATAGTCAACCCCCCCGCTCACTAAGCAGCCCTACTAGGCGGGCCTTATATATATATATATATATATATATATATATATA